TAGAGAGCTCAACACTGCCAGCATTGGTTGCAATGATTTCTACACAAAGAGACAGAACCTTGTCTTTGCCCCTATGTGTGATTCCTACTCAAGCAGTAGTTGGAAGAAGCAAAGAGTAAAAGAGTGTGCATATGTGAAGATCACCTTCCTGCATCCCAGTTACAGCTTTTCCTGCCTTTCACCATCATTACAAATATCCCACAGCTCTTCTGAGCTTCCCATGTCTCTCCAAGCCCCTGCAAAGGGGCAGAGGAGTCTTTGTGCTTCCAAGTGAAAACAAACCAAAGGAACAAAAAAGAAAAAAATGTAGAAGTGCAAGAAATTTTCAGAGCACTGCAAAAGGATTTAAAAAAAAAAAGAAAATAACAGTTAGTGAATTATAGGTCACTGAGACCAACTGCAATTTTTGGAAACATTCTGGGAATATTAGTAAAAATAAAAACCATCAGAAGGATCTAGAAAGCATCAAGATGATAAATAGCAAGAAAAAAAACAAGATGACAAAAAGAAATTGGTTTTGTCAAAAACTGACCACATCAGACCAACTTAATCCTCTCCAGTGGCAGAATACCAAGCCTTGTCATTAGCAAATAGTTGAGCTAAAGTACAGCTTAGCTAAGCTATACTTAGGTTACATTTGGACCTAGTAAGGCACTGTTGTCTTCTATGAGCTACTCTTACATAAGGTACAGAAATAAGTGTTGTGAGATTGGATCCAGTGATCCAGAATTAAGGAGAAATCAGGCCTTCTTGATTGTTCTGGGTGTAGGGTGATTCAATATTTTCTTTATCTGTCCCACTTGTCTGGCTAAAAGGCATTAGGAGATGCTGGCATTTCATAACTGCAGGAATTTGCAGCTGATGTATCTCACCATTAAGCCATACAGTGTGACAGCTCATCCAAGAGAGTCAGATTTTACTGCCTGCACTACCCATACTACCAATTTCTGGGGTGTACAATCACCACAGAAGGTGGATGGAACAAAAACTGAGATTCTGGAGGAAGAGAAGACTATGCAAACACTGGAGCAATCAGTCTAACAGGTCACAGTAGATCTCTGGGCTTTGAAATCAAATCAAAGAATAAGCTAGTCTTAGTCTGCTGGGACAGGTATTTCTTTAAGTGTCTAGACCCCAATTTCATGGCCATTTGAGAGAGATATAAGGGCACCGTGGCAGAGGTGAAACACTTTTTAGAAGGACTTGAAAGAAAATGTTTCTACAGGGTGTATGCAGACCTTAAATTTTGGCATTCCCTAGTTTAAATCTCTTATGGACTATTCATCTCACAACACGGGCCCAGAGGTGTGCAGAATTGTTAAATCTGTTAAATCTTGTTAAATTGCAAAAACCTGTGGGTATCCTTTGGCCAAAGAACCAGGCATGATCAAAATGAAGATATAACACTGAAGGTGTTCTGACCACATCATTTTAGAGCATAAAAACAACAGATTCTTTCTCTTCCCTACAACTCTCAAGAGGGAATAACTTCAAACAGATAGAGAAATGGAATTTTCTCAGATAATAGTGGAGAACTATTAAAAATTTGTTCTCAGACCCACTCACATATATTTTTTATAACAGCACATGAAAGGAGAACTCAATTCTAGTCAGATAATAAAAAAATCTAAGCGTATAAAACAAATTAACATGCATTTGAATATTTTTCCAAACTCCATTCAAAGTCCATCAATAATCAGAGACAGTGCTCCTCCCACAGTCACACAAGCTCATCTTTGGGATTCTTTGTCTGTCCCTAGACTAGATCAAGGAGAACCAGACCTGCTCAGCCACCTGCAGCCACACGTGCTTTACAACTTCAAGAAACGGAATTAAAAAAGTGATTTTCTCAACAGCTTTAATGCTTCACTAAGTATGTATCTGAAAATTGATCATCTTAATAGATGTTTGTGAAGGAAAATGACTGCTGAGTGCTTCTGATTTTAAAAAAGTCATTCAAGCTTTCCTATTCTGTCTTAACATTTCCCCTCCTCCCCTCCCACCTATGCTTTTAAAAAGCATATCATTAGCAGGACTTTATTACAGGCAGGTGTAGAGAAATCAAGGCAGCTGCATGAATCCCTACTGAGATCACAACTACTTCCATGAAATTCTAAGGTCTCAGGAGGGAAAAGCACAGCCTAATCTTGGGCACTATTGCGGTGGGGTGCTGGGAACAGGGCAGATGGCCTGCCAGATTTGTTTGTTCTAGTGTCATGCCTTGTGTTGAGCCCTGGCAGAGGCTGTGTCTGAGCAGTGAAGGGGGAGGCTGCCTGCTTGCTTTGTGCCAGCTCTGCTGTGATGTACCATAGGATGAGGGAGATGGCAGCTTCCCAAGTGTTTTGGGAAAGGCCACCAGGGTCACATGATGAGAAGCAGAGAGGTTTCTCAACAGGGTTGAGACACAAACCTGCTGCATGAATGGAAGCATGGTCTCCTGGGAGTGGGATTTCACAGTCATTTGGATTAGCTACAGGAAAGGAGACAGACTCTTTAGCAGGGTGTGTGGCAGAACAAGGGGAAATAGCTTCAAGCTCAAAGAGGTTGATTTAAGTTACATATAAGGAAAAAGTCTTTAACAGTGAGAGTGGTGAGGCACTGGAACACACTGCCCAGTGATGTGGTTCATACCTTGTCCTTGGAGACTTTCAAGGCAAGGCTGGATAAGGCCGCAGGCAACCTAATATGCTGTGGGTGTCCCTGTTTGTTGCAAGAGCTTTGGACTAGAGGACCTTCAGTGGTCTCTTCCAACTCTAAGGATTCTATGATAATAACTTAGGTTGGAAGGCACCTCTGGAGGTCATCCAATCCTACCACCTGCTCACAGGAGCACCAGCTTGGAAATTAGATCAGGTTGCTCAGGGCCATATCCAGCCAGGTTTTGTATGTCTCCAAGGACAGTGATTTTACAGCTTCACAGAGCAATCTGTCCTCATGTTTGATTATAATCCCTGAACATTATTTTACTTATACTAATTTGCATTTCCCTTGCTGTAGCTTGCATCCCCTGCCACTCACACTACTGCTTTGCAACCCTGGCTCCATCTTCTCCCTAACGTTACCTGTTACACAAATGAACACTGCAGGTACACCCTACTGCATGATCTTCTTTTCTCCAAGGTGGATAAGTCCTGGTGTCCTAGCCTCCCCACCTTTGTCCTCCAGACTTTCAACGACCTTGGTGTCCCTCTATTGTTTTCACTCATGATGTCGTCATCTCTCTTGCAGAAGGGAAACCAAAAGGGGAGACAGCACTCCAGATGCACATAGAGCAGAACATCATGGAGGGAAAATAAACTTCACTGATAAGAGAGAAGCAGGAATGTATTTACTGATAAAATGAATTATCAGTTCATTAACAGTGAATTAACAGTGAATTAACAAAGAAGACTGTGACAGAAAGATTCAAGATGGTAAGATACACTTTATTATTAACAGCATAAAGAGTAGGGTTAAGCACATTAATCCAGGAGACCCTCTAGTTGAGAAAAGAGGTTCAGAGTGAACCCCTTTTCTTTCTAAAGTCCTACTCAGAGAAGCATAGGTGTAACCTAATCCTCTTGTAGTACCTATCTTGGTCAATAATTTCTGTTGAAATGTGAAGGAAGCCTGCTGAATGACGAGGTTCAAAGCACACCCTCCTTGCTTTCTAAACTTCTTGAACTCCACAGGAAAGGAGCCTAAGCATAGCTGGATCTACTGCTAGTCCAGACTTGGTCAACAGTTTACGTCTAAGGGATTATATGTGAACTATCATTCTAAAATATAATCTCAGCAAAGCTAGCAAAGCTTAAATAAACTGTTAGACACTTACCAAGTATCTATACTGGCAAGGCATCTTCACATTAAGGTTTAAGGGATCTCTGTACAGCTATAACCTCAAGAGCTGCCCCCTATTCTCAGGGAGATCCCGCTATGCAACCAGCTGCTAAGCAGTAGAATTCAAGGGGCTCTTGGGCTGCTAAATACTTATCAGGTAAGATGACTGAAAAAAGTCATATTTTTAGGACATTTTCAGTTGTTCCTTATCTGTTGAAGCATGTGTCTGCCATCAGTTCTTCTAGCACCTAGTTTGAGACAGATGTGTGGTTTCTGTCTTAACAAGGTCTTGAGTGTAATCAGCACTGTGCTCACTGTCGGTCTGAGCAAGGTCTAGTGTAACAGCCAGGCTGGAGGAGGACGTTGAGCACACTATCATGGAGAATCATCACTTCACTTAATCTATTGGCCCCATTTCTCCTAAATCAGCCTTGAACATGGCAAGTCAAATTAAATCTGAGCACAAACCCCAAAAATAACTTCCAAGAGATATGGTAGTTACCATATCCTTGGAAACATTCAAGGTCAGGCTGGACAGGACTCTGAGAAGCCTGATCAAGCTCTAGACCTCCCTCTTCACTGCAGGGGAATTGGACTAGATGACCTTTAAAGGTTCCTTCAAACAATTCTATGATCCTGGCCTCTAAGCAATACCTTCTCCCTTCCTTCTTTACACTAGTATTAGCACCTGTGAACACACAGAAATCTGATCAATCAATCAGTGGAAAACCAGTAATTTTTTTCTATTTTCTCAAGGTAGGGAGAGATCTAAAAGACCTGGGGTGAGCAGGAACATCCTGCCTGGAGCTGCCAGGAGTCAACAGGTGTACAACACGAAATAGAGGAAGACACAGCTTAAGGGTGAAGATCTGTCATATCTTTGCTTGAAAGGACAGGAGCAGAGCCTTGACATTGCTGTACCTTCTCTTTATTGCCACTGAGAGTAACTTCCTCCTGGAAGTCACTTCTGAGCTGTTTGTGTAATTAAGAGTGCAGTTCCCCTTGAAACACCTTGAGAGACAAATATTGCTGCGTGCAGAGCAAGAGAATGAGAGAGTGTATGTGAACTGCTGAATCACGGCCTGAACCTCTGATTGATCACAGGTGAAGGCAATTCACCTGTGCTGCCAGAAGGGGTGGAGCCTGGCTCCACCTCTCCTAGACCCATTTAAGAGCTGACTACCAGTGAGGAAGGATCACTTCTGGAGATCTCCTCCTCTGGAGTTTCATAGCAAGCCTAGGATATGGGTAAGCATTCTATCTATTCTGTTTTGGTATAATAACTGCGTAGCCAAGCTCTTTGTTATATTTCATGACTACAATATCTCTACATTCATTGATTATACAGAGATGCAGCCTTCAGCAGCTCCACACTGACATGCCATCTCAGTGCATCATATGTGCTCACTGTACTTCAGAGGGCCTCATCAGAACAGCAACCCATCGTGGTTTCAAATGGGATTCAGGGTAACCAGTTAAATATTTTAAAGAGATCAAAGTGTTCCTCCACCAGGAAAGCAAGCATGCAGTTTTTCTAATTTAAATAACTGATTTGTTTTGGACTACAGTCAGTCTGTTTCCAAGGAAATTCAAGCTGGGTGACTTTTGTTAATGGAGACAATTTACTGAAGGTGAAAGTGTTATTAAGATCTTGCAATAATAATATTAAAAAAGTAAATTAGAGTTCAAAATAATAAGATGCCTAATGTAGCTTGACCCAGATCTAGAGGAGCAAATGGAAGCTCTGTTATTTTTGAATTGTTTTTCAAAACGGCAGAGAAGCAGCCCATTAACTCTAGAAAATAAAATGCTGCGTGTTCAACATTATCAAACACTGAAAAAGAATGTCAGTAAATTTCAGGGTAATACACATGGTTGATGAAACTATTGGATGCTAAAGGGAAAAAAAATCCAGCATCAGTGCTGGTAACATCAGAGATTGGTGCACATCAGATTTTATTTGTTTTTTTCCTCTTGCCTTCTCATCCAGATATCAGCAGCTAAGGGACACTTTTCATTGCTAGAGTAAACTGTTCTTAAATGAAGTCACATTAAGTTAGTTTTTTTCTTCACTTTTTTAATAACTTTAATCATAGCTGTAATTTTTGTACTTTATTGTGCACTCTTGGTGCTTATTATTGTTCACCTGTAGACATTTAAGGTAAAACTCTGTACTTCTGGGGGCTGCTTTCACTTACATTAAGCACTGAAGCATTCAGCTGCTTTACCAATATCTCACCAGCTGGTAAACAACTCAAACAAATGCTCTAGCAGTCTTGATCCAAACTGGTACTGAACGACTCTGTTTGCCTTTGCATGTGTGAAAGGCACAGAGAAGCCTAGAAAGACAGAATTTGTAACAACGTCACAGCCATGCAGAATGTAAAGCCTTGTTTCAACACATGGTCTGCAAAGAAAAAACCCTAATCTCCACAGAAGATTCAGCAATGCCTCCTTTAAGATGAAGTTACTGCTGTGATCCCCCACTTGCTACTGGGATGCTCCTGCTGGATGTGAGGTGCTCATCTATGCAATGACCCGTTATATTCTCCAGACTCGCATTAGCACAGATCCTAATGCTCTTCCTCCACAGTGCTGTAGGGTTACAGACTTCTGCAAGGAGTTTGTTGTGAAGAAGGATTGTATGAAACACAAGTGGCCTTCCTGATGGGTCCATCTTCATACAAATCATGTTTTAGCTTACTAGCTGATGCTTCCTCCCCTGCAATTTGAGAGTACTTGCAGTTGGTGGCAGTACACCAGGGCATAATGTTGCTGATTGTCCACCTACACACCAGTCTGGCTGGGGTAGCACGAATGATACAGTACCCATCTCTGTCATCATATCACTGTCCTTGCAACAACCTGGAGCCACTAGATACACTGATATTACCCCTCTAAGTTTACTAGTGAAGTCCCTAACACCTGTCCCTTATTAGACAAATAAGAATGATTATAATTTAATAATAATAATTTAAAGTTAATAAACCATATGAAGCTATTCACATTCTGGTGTGAAGAGGAAGAATATTGAGATGAGATCTGACAATGGCATGCATCTAGCAGTCTTTTCCTAATGCTTTATCTAGTATTATGAATGTGTTTAATTTTACTCATTTCAGTAGTTCTAATGTAGCTAGTCAGGCTATTTGTAGAAATTAATGGTGTATGCAAGCTATGTGCTAGAGTGAAGGGCTGATTTCCCAGCAGGGGACAGTGCAGAAATGCAGGAGAACTCTTACAACTGTTGTAAGCAAAGGCAGGGTTAGGCCACATGTATACAGCAAGAGTCAGCTGCCTTCTCCAAAAAATTGTCTTCTCTGTTTGCTCTGCTCTGTTCCTAATGTAATAACACCTGTCTGCCTTGGTTAATATTTTCTAGAGGACGCTTTGCTTTCATAATGCTATTTAACAGTATAAATAACAGAGGGTGCTGCAGGGTAGTTCTGGTGAGGACAGCAGGATCCTTGAAAATTGCTGTAAGTAGAGACATTTTTTTTTTTTTTTTTTTTTTTTTTTTTTTTAACGGAGATTTCAAAAGTGTATCATATTGCAGTCAGTTGATTTTAAGACTTCTGTAGTATATTAAATCTGACTTAGCAACTGTTTCAGTGGTAAAGAGGCTTACTTGGCCAATTGGATACAAAGCGCACAGGCACCATTTAGGCGTTTGCCTGTATGTTGTTACATGATTGGCAGGAGTACCAAGAATGGCAGACAAGGGTGTCATTGCCTTGTGGGGAAGCAAGGTGATCTCTAGAGCCAACAAATCTTCAACATACCTCCTGCTCTTCCCAGCTAGAGGGAACAGGCCCTGTTTTGTTCAGAGCCTGGGGATGGGTGCCTAGAGTACAGATAATGTTTTTAAACTAATTTTACTACAGTATATTCAAGGCCAGAGGTAATACCTTTGCTTAGAGAATAGGATATCTGAGCTGTACTTCTCTTTCAGATGAGACATCTACTTGTATCCTCTAATCATCAGACTGAAGGATAATTGAGCAGGAAGGAGGGAAAAGTTGTTCTTCAGCTGCTCAGGTGAGCTGAAATCACAGTGATGCCGAACTGTAATGTTCATGTAGAGACTGTATAGTGATCAGGTGTACACTGGAAAGTAGAAACTAGGAACTCAGTCTGATCTGTTCATGACTGCCCTAAATACTGCATTTCCCTTTTTTTCTTCTGGCCTCAGTAATACTTTATCCATAGGTATGTGTGGTAGCACAGATCCAAAAAGTAAATACTAAGAGTGCTCTGAAGAGTGAGAGACTGTGTTCACCTGTTTCCAGGTAAAAGAAGCCTCGAAGGGGTGATGCCATTCTTGAGGGCTGCAATTCCTGGTGAGCTCTTACATCCCAAGCTATCTTGCAGAAGGCAGGTGACGCTGGGAACAGCTCTGATTTTATTCCCTCTCTTCCCTTCTCCCAGGGTTTGTTTGGATTTATGCAAGCAAATTTGACAGAGGTATTGATGTTTTATATAACTTAGAAGTTTTACTCAAAAACGTCTAACAGAGAAGTTTACTCCTTACAGAGAAAAGTAACACACCTGATTACAGAAATCATTGACTTACACACATGTAGGATTACATGCATTTCTAAATAACATTCTAAAATTGATTTCTATGTTTCTATTGCAAAAGTAATTACTTTAATGAAACAATGACAATGACTGGATTCTTTTCAGAATCTGATACCTTCAACTTGTGCCTGCAGTGTTCTCAGGTCTTGGGTGCAGGGGTATCAAAACTCTGAATCTCAGAAATAAATATCTAGCTGATCGCTCTTGACAACTGCCTGAGCTTGTCCAGGAGCATGATGGGAGGTATCTTGAGAGCTTTCAGGCCAGCCAGTAAAAAACAAGTGAATTTGTGGTGCTCCTGTAAATAGGCCATCATGTGCAGTGGGTTTCTGAGACCAGTTTCTCACACACAAATGTGAGTAGTCAGTTCCTTCTTTTGTGACTTTTGTGTGCTTGAATTCTTTTAGTTTCTTCTTTGGGTATGACCATGAGTAGCTGAGATGAGTTCAACAGACACTACTGATGGTGGTGGGGTCGTGTGTTGTTATGCCTGGTCCCCTGAGGGACCAGCTATCAGGACAAAGTTTCTCAGATTTCCTCATTTGGTTGTTTTTAAGAGGGAAGCAGCACCATCTGGTGAGCAAATAGCTTTTCTATTTCTTGCCTGCATGCATTTTCAAACAGTGCAAATGTTCCTGTCTAAAATGAGTATAGGTGAAGATCCCTTATGGGAGCAGAATGGGATGAATATGCATCTCCAAATCACTGAGACAAAAATCAGCCCTCAAATAGATAAACTAACTGTATCCACAAAGAATCAACTTCTGTCAGTTGGAAAACTTGGCCTCGTTCTGTTATAGGTGTTCTAATGGACTTATTTTGAGGCAACAGCCAGTCCCAGTTTTCTCCATTTTCTTTCTAGGAAAGAGCATCTTAAAAAAAAAAAAAAAAAAAAAGTAATTCTGGTTTGCATGGTAGGAAAGATTGTAATATACTCAATGAATGTTATCACCAAATTTATTATGGATAAATTGCTTGAAACATCACTATCCTACAGCTGTTGAGTCAAGCACTGTCAGGCTTGACTGAAAGCTTTTCATGAATGAAACCTTTTCCTGAATACTGAAAATATATTGTCATGGCCTGACATAGACAAAAGGAAGAAAAGAGGCAGAGAATTCAACTGTTTTTCTTCCAGGCTATTCAACAAATTATTGTAAATATGGCATTGCAATTGAATAGCTCTTCACTGTATTCCCATGTCTGTGGGCAATCTGACAGAATGTCTCTTGGCAAACTGTTCTCCAGAGACAGTATGAGTCTTAAGAAAGAAAGCTTTCTTCTAAATTATCCTTTTCAGATAGGGAATTCCCTAGGGCTTTTTAAGCAGAGATTCTTAGCTCTTTGTTCTTTAGTAAGTGTACAGCAAGTGTTTAGTAGGAAAACTCAATCATGAGGATAGCCTAAGAATCTGCTCCAAAACAAAATAGTTGTTAACTTATCACTGGATAATCTTCTGCTAACTTAAAAGTGCAGTAGTATCAACTAGATTAGTAAACACAAAGTAGAAGAAATAGCTCCCAGTCACATTCTAAAGGCTTACAGGATCTAAATTCTATTATGAAAGTGTCCCCATTAAGCATACACACAAGAAAGGATCTCTACACACTACAGCTGCTGAGTCTTTCATAATCTCATGATTTTAGAATTCACCATTACCAAGATTTCTGTGAAAGCTGACTCATAACTCTTGAACGTTTGTGATTGGCCAGTGCTGAGTAACAGATGGATGATTTACATTCAGATTGTAGTTAATTATCTGTGAAAATAAATAAAATGAAATTAATTCTGTGAAAACTAAACACGAAAAGCAAATATGTCATAACTGCATAGAGCAAAAATATCAGGATAGAAGAAAAATCCTTCTGAAAACTATAACCAATACTTTACAAAGCTCATACACCCATTAGCTACAATTTTGAGGCCAGATTAGTTAAATTCCATTCCTACATTGCACTCGAAATTGAAAGAAATTGTCATTTCAGTGCCTATATACAAAAATCCACCCATATGCTGTGCTTTGTTATAGATAGTAAATGTGATGAGATAGGGAACAGGTAGTGACTTCTGTTTTAAAATGAAATATTTCATTCTTTTTTGTTCTTGCTGTTTTTAATAAATCATGCCTGCGGTTGAGTAAATTCACAGTAAGTAATTTATTCAGAGACAGATTCTGAATCAGACCTCTAGATACATGGAAATAGATTAGGCTCACATTTTGTGCTTTTGTCTGGGAGCAGATTTCAAAGTCTGACTAACACATTGGATCACACATAGCTGGCTTTAAATATTCAGAACTGGAGCTTTTATGATGAGTTAAAAGTGGATAGTTATACTGAGCAGTATCATTTCAATGACAGAATCAAAGGAGGAGGCTGAAATATAATTTAAAACTACTGTGCACAGTAATTGAAAATGCAGTTGCCAGGGATGCTCATGGCCATTCCAATTTATCAATAATATAGTCTTGCTGCAAGCAGGACTGCCTTTTATAAATACTTTCATCAGACTTGCAGTTGTTTAAATATCTGATTATAGCTCAAAATATTTTGTTGCTCTTATTCAAGTCTAATCATAACTAGATAATCAAATACTAATGAAAAGTGATCTCTCTGATGCTGTGGTGAAATCAGGACCATGATCTTTCTGACCACAATCTTTCAAGTCAAATAATACAAGAATAGAAAGGTGCAATTAGAATATGTCCCTCCTCATACAATTTCTAGCAAATCTGGCTCATTACCTCCATACATCCTTTGGAAGTTTCTCACCATTTCTTTGCATTAGATTCAAGAGAAATGAGGCCCACTGGGACTCTACATTTCCAATGTCCAATTGTAAGAGCTGTTACAGTGTCAGCTCTGTAAAGAAATGTAGACAACACAGCTGAGAGTAACAGGATAAGATAAATGTACTGCCCTTTGACCAGTAGAGCATCTGATAAAAATAAGGCTTTGCTTTCATTGGTGTCACTGTCTACTTTTGCTGTGTTGAAAATGAATCCTCTCCAATGGTTCGGTTTGTCTCTTAAGAGATAAAATAAGAACCCAAAGTAATGTTTTAAGTGTCATATCATTTTTATAGAGAAAGGAAGAGAACCTATTCCTTAGAGACATAGAGCTTCATATTTGGTTTGCTACAGCCACCATCGTTTGTTCTCTCTTGAAATGAAGGGCCTTATCAGTCTGACCAAAAGGTTATTTAAAGATCTCTGGGCCTAACTACTCCAGTTCTATTTGTACATAGCTACTGCTGTCTGTCCACTTGTGTGAATTTCTTCTCTCTTTCCTTACTCACAGAACATCCAGACTTGCTCTGTGATGTTCTTTCGAGGAGTTATCTTAGACCATTATTGTCAAAAGCACAGTACTATTGCAGTCCTCCAATGATTAGTCATGGCGTGTTTTCTGGTGGGGGTATGCTCTCTTGTCTGGCCTGCTGAGGGTGCTGTGTATTCAGCAAATCAGTGCTGAAAATTCAGCACTAAATGCCTTTGTGGGCATTTAGTGTGAGGCAGAAAGAGTTCTGGAAGATTTGTCAGAAGGCCAGGGGAAATTAAAACAAACAACAAAAAAAGAAAAAAAATCATGTCTGGTGAAAGATTTATTTTATTTTTTTTCTTTTAAAGGAAATTAAGATGAGAAAAACGTGAGCTCTTTTTTAGTGAGAATGACAAAATAACTCTTTCTATTTGATTAATTAGCTTACCTTAATCATAAATTTTTCTTTTCTCCATAGGATTTTAATACAAGAAGATGAAGACTGTATTTTATATATGTTTGCTTCTGGTTGGGCTTCATGCTTTTGCTTATGGTCAGCATACAGCCAGCCACCACAATGGACGTGATCCAAACGAACCTAACTATCATATGCATCACAGTGCTGAAGCAGCTGCTTGCCTCAAGCTAGTGCCAAACAATGCTGACTTTGCATTTAAACTTCTAAATGAAGTTGCACTGGAAGAGCCTAATAAGAACATTTTCTTCTCTCCTGTAAGCATCTCCACTGCCTTTGCAATGCTGGCCCTGGGGGCTAGGTCAATCACCAAGATTCAGATCCTGGAAGGACTTGCCTTTAACCTTACAGAAATTCAGGAGAAAGAGATACATGAAGGCTTCCACAATCTCATGCACATGCTGAGCCATCCTGAGAGTGGGGTACAGCTCAACATGGGAAATGCAATCTTTCTAAAAGAGAAGCTGAAACCACTAGAAAAGTTTTTAGATGATGCCAAACCTTTGTATCAACTAGAGGTTTTAGCTACTGACTTCAACAATCCCACAGAGGCTGAGAAGGAGATCAATGATTATGTAGAGAATAAAACACAAGGGAAGATTACTAATTTGGTTAAGGAAATTGATCCTCAGACTGTAATGCTCCTGGCTAGCTTTGTTTTCTTTAGAGGTAAGTCATTTAATGTTTGTGTTATTTGTTTTTATTAAGTGATCTCATCAGCTGCCTCACTGGGAAATTGTTCCAGCAGAAATTTCAAATCCTATTTGATGGGATTGAAACCCATGTGGTGTGCTTGGGCCAAGGAGAGCAGCAGAACCCTGCACAAAGAGACCCTGAAGGCTGAGCTCTGCTCAAGGCCAATGCAGGAACTGTGCTCTGGGATGCAGCCCTAGACGCTTTCATAGCTCCAGTTGGCCCACATTTTTTCAGTTTTTAATAAATGCATATCTAATCTTTTAGAAGTCTGTAGAAGCATGCACTGTTCACTGGCCTAATTTGTTATATACTATAAAATCCTATTTTTTCCTTCTGAAGTCCTTGGAATATATACACACAAACGTATTTATATATGAAAGAAGCTACTGCTGATCAGACGAAGGCATTTTAAGGAACAGTATTTCCGATGTGGATACCACTATGTGGTATTAAGCTTGACACAGCAGCACTCAAATATAGGATCCTACATCAATTTTATCTACAGACAGAGACTTTTGTTAAAGTTAATAGAAATCAAATGTATGCAGAATACAGATGCTGTCAGGTGAGCCCTTAAATCATAATTTACAGAAAGATTACTAAGATCATCTGAAGAGAGAAGTAATACAATCTAATACACTTACACTTTCTTGACTGAGTAAAAGATTTTTGGTTTACTGTGACATACATCTTAAAATGTTAAGTTTGAAAACTGAATTTATGAATTGGAAGAATAGGTGCATACGATTAGCTATATAACATTCCATCTATGATAAGATGAGACATGGGACATTCAGTTGCATTTCCCTTTCTGTATCAGGCAACTGGGAAAAGCCTTTTAAACCAGAGAATACTCAAGAGAGGAAGTTCTTTGTGGATGCTGAAACTACTGTGAAAGTTCCTATGATGTATCAAGTTGGCACATTTGACTTGTATTTTGATGAGGACCCGCCTTGCACCGTGGTACGTCTTCATTACAATGGAAGTGCTACTGCATTTCTAGTTCTGCCAGCAAAAGGGAAAATGAAGCAGTTAGAGCAAACTCTGGACAAGGAAAGAGTCAAGAAATGGTCAGACCATCTATTCAAGAGGTAATCTGCCAGTCAGCTGCAGCGGGACCTAGATCTATGCTTTTTTTCCTCTCTTTTGGAAATGCAATGCTACAGAGTGGCTGATTCTGATAACTGAGTGGGCTATTTTTTTTTCTTGTGCATCCTAGCTATAAAAATATTGCAGCTAGTTGGTATTTAACTATACCCTGGCTTATGCCTAAGTGACCTTATGCTTCCCCCACCGGAGCACAAACCACCCTGAGGGGGTCTTGAGAGTGCTGAAGAGTAATCCCTTATAGGATTCTGAAACAGTCCACTGCCTGAGTGAGAAAGTGGCAGTTCAAAAGCAAAATCTCTAATCACATCTCAGTTAATATATTCTACCTCATATGTGTCACTGACACATATAACTCAGAAATATGTCTAAACCCTAAATAAATGATGACTTTGTATTAATTCATAATATGCCCTACACAGATGTTGTCCTTACCCCTGCATTACCCAGTGGTTGTTAGAGCAGGCTGGTGACTGATTACAGGTCACCTGATTTTTCTGGAATTCTGTTTCTGAAACTGTTAAAATCTAAGGAGATTTTGTCAGCTCCTACCACTGAAACTAGCATCAGCTAGTATGTATCTCAATATTATTTGACTGAGAGGAAAGAAATCTAAGCACCAGTTGATGAGTAATATCAAGGTGATATGTGCCTAATTTACCAAGCTCAGCCCTGATTCTCAACAAGACTTGGCAGTTCACACCCATGATTCTTGGTGTATGTCATTGAAATACTAACACAGTTAACAAAGACATAATGGGTAACAAACTGGATATGAACTAATATGTGATGCCTCAGCTCTGAAAAATAAAAATGTAATTCTCAGGTGCATATTAGGAAAACTCATATCTAAATAAGTTACTTGTGCAAGCACCTTCAAGTCCCACATATACATACGTTCTTCATAGGAAATAGAACCAAAAGGCAATTTTGATTCTTCTAGGTTGATTATTCTAGTGCTAATAAGCTTGATCCTATCATCTTCTTATACACTGGGCAGTAACACATAAAGGCGGCAGCAGTAGGTCTTGAATTCTGTTCACTTCACTCCAGGGAAAGACAGAAGATGTGATTTACTTAAAAGGCAAATCCTGCTCTAAAGCCCCCTAGACAGCATGTGAAAGAAATCAAGTGAAAACCATAGCAAGCAGGAGTTGCACACAGATAGTCTGGAGGTGGCACAAATTCCATCAGGAGTAACTTGAGGAATACATTTCGATCTCTGGAGCTGGACAGAACTTGTTCAGCGTGTCTACCCTACCTATCTGCTTCTCACTGTTGAACACAGGCTCTATCACAGCAAGTGTCCAGAGGAGAGACATTAGAAAATGGAGAAGATGAGGTGCCCTGTGCAGGTGTCAGGAGGAAGAACCTCCCCCTGAGTGATGCCAAAGCACTACTTTGGTTTGAATTGCTGGGGCTTATCACATCTTTCCCCAGGCAGATCTGTATGTACCCTATTTCATGCCCCTCCCTGCTTGAGTGATATGGGCTGTCATCTCTGTGTCTCATGTTTCCTAACTGTAAAGAGACTCTCATTACTGCTCTCCTCTGCTGAGTGCTCTCACATTTGATAAAGAAAAACACCAGATAAATATCACTGTTATTACTGTGAGTTACAGCATCTGTAAGAAGAGCCAACAGACTAGTGCTCATTCTATTTTTATAGCTGGTCCAGACTCCTGGTATTTGGTACCCATAGGAATGACACAGCTTTCCCATGAACATTTACCTCTGCAAAAGATCTCTTACCACCCTCTGTACTTTTCTTCTGCCCAACAGCAAAATACAGCTCTACTTCCCCAAATTTTCTATCTCTGGGAGCTATGAAATAACAAACATACTTAGCAAGATGGGAATTGTGGACGTGTTCACCAACCAGGCAGATCTCTCCGGCATCACTGGTGTCCCAGAGCTGAAGGTTTCTAAAGTAAGTCTGTTGCCACCAACCTTTTTCTTCCTTTCACACACACACCCCTGTGGTGTGCAGAAACATCAGTTAAACACAGATCTTGGCTTTCCAGCTTCCCATATCCTGGCTTCAGTTTGTAAGTTTACAACTGAGAGGAATTTGGCTGCCAATGACAATGATCAGATTAGTTTGCTGCACAGTTCTTTTTCCCAGGGCCGCTTTCAAGATCTCCCAGGGTGTATCTAGAGCATGAGAAGAACACCAAATGTCAGCTTCTCAGGAAGAGACATTATTTGTTCCTAGCCCCACCTCAGCCCACCCTACTGGTCTGTTGAGTCAGTTTTGGAAGTGCAGAGCTGACCCCCTTTAACATGTACCTGGAAAGTGGACAAGCAGCACTCTGATTACTTTGGGCCAGAATGGCTGAAGGCAGGAATGAAGCTCTACTAGATCTGAGGGGCAGCTGGGCACAGGCACCTCGCTTGTGTCAGCATAATGAGCAAAAACTGGGAAAGCACAAGGGAAAGGAAGATCAAGGAAAACTTCAAGATTAAGGGATGAAATTTAGATAAAAGAGACTCTCATTTTTTTTTAAATTCTTTTTTCTTTTAATTTTTTTTTATTTTAAGTGGCAGTTTATCTTCTATTTGCCTAAACAATCCCCCTTCCTCCTCTTCAGCTGCCTCTTTTCCTCAGATGTAATTGGGCAAATGAAAGCATTTGACCCAAGCATAAGAGCACAGTATGTTCTCTTTTTCTTTATCTCATGAGGAGCTGAGAGAATTTCTGCTGCTCTATCCTGATCTTCATTTAAAGCAGCTGCCTATAGCAATGCAGCTCACATCTTTTCTGCTCCTACAAATCCTCCTATGGAGGATCCTCCAAAGGAGGAGTGATGTAAATGGAGCCTGGTTCATCTTTCATGTGGCTGGTTACTGCTCCAAATGACTGTGTCTTCTTTCTTCCTAGGTTGTCCATAAGGCTGCTCTGGATGTTGATGAGAGAGGAACTGAGGCAGCAGCAACAATTGCTCCTAAAATAATGGCCCTCACTCGTGCTCCAGTCATTGAATTCAACCGTCCCTTCCTGATGCTGATTTTTGACAGAGACACAAACAGTACTCTCTTCATAGGAAAAATAGCTAACCCAACTACCACTAACAGAAGTGAGATATGAACTCTAATTATTGTTACTAATTAAAGAAGATGTGAAACTGCATGATGCTTATTTCTATTTGCACCAGTGTAGCATACAGCTCTTTTCCAGGAGGAGTTTTTATTCCAGGTCATTACCAAAAATTCTAGGTACTGATTGTGACACTTTCTTAGGAGGAAGTGTGAAAAAATGTTTTAAATTCTTCTACCAAAGAATGACTGTTTATTTGACTGAGAAACAAGGGAAGACCTGTTAAGATTCAACAGTATTCAGAGATAAATGTTTGTATAACAATGGAAGACTTCTGCTTAGCAATTCATTGTCAGTCAGAATATCAGATTAAATGATTAACACTTCTGCAAACAAAGCCTAAGCAGTTGTAATTTACCATAAATACATAAGCAAGTAAATAAGAAATGAGAAAAGCTGAATCAACAAAGTAGGGTCATGGGAGACTGAAGCTTCCATTAACACCAGAGTACATGAGGAGTTATTTTCCAGCAGGCACAGAGAAGTCTCTTCTCCATAAATCATTCATCACTTTGCGTTAATCTAGCAGCAAATATTTCTGGAAAACCTTCCTTCAGCTCAAAACAGAGCTTTTCTTCAGCCCGAGGACTTCCAAACAAGTATTGTCTATTTGACAGACTTAGCACACATTAGTAGTTGGCTCTTCACACATGCATCCATCAGTGGTCAGGAGGATGTAGCTAGATGAGCAGGTGAGGTATTTGGACAACAATTACCCAAGCATATTGTCAGATGAGATTTGTAGAAAACGCCTAATTAGGGTCTAGCAGAGTGCCATCCTTCCATAGCTACCAAGGTAGATATGTAGGTATCACCCTGTGAGCAGATCTCCAGACTCATGGAGTGCTGACACCAACTATGAGAGTTAGAACAGCCTGAGGGCAGAATGATAACCTCTTTCAACAGACTTGCTTTGAAAGTGGGTACAAGAACACAGCTAACTCTTAACTACAACTGCAGTTTCGGAAGTAAGTGAAATGGTATCACAGCATCAGAAAACACTGTAGGAGCAGCCAAATGGCTTGGGATGCAAGAAGCTTCAGCCATATGTTGAACAGTCTCTGAAATTACAGCAAGGGTGATTTTCAGCCTGACACACATAAGGAAGACCAAAGTACTGTCTCTCCTTTACTGCCAAAAGAAAATTTCCCTTTCTGTTCTGTGTTTCTAATAAAAATTCTCCAGTTGACTGTCACTATTGGTTCTCGGTTGGGTTTTTTGTCTAACTGGCTCACAATCTCTGAAAAGAAAAGTTTATGACCAAGGACTTAACACAGATGGCAGGAATCCCAGTGAATGAGATACATGTACACTACACAATCTTCCTGGCCCCTTCCTGCATTCACCTCCATCTGTTACAGTGGCTCTGTGGCCCAAGACACACACAAATAATTCCTAAGGCAACCTGTCTGACCACGTAGGTTTGTCATCTTTCTGAAATATAACTGCGCAATACAGAATTAACGGGGCCAGTCTTAGCCATTATCACTCCTACTGTTAACTGACATACAGAGAAGCAACAGTGAAACATAGAGGTTCGATGAGGTCAGATCTTCAAGTAAGATTTCTTGAGCACCTGAGAACCATGCCAATTTTCTCTGGATGAAAAAAAAAGTGATGTATTTGATCTTAGTGTGATTTGTGGTTCACATCAAGAAATGTGGAAGAAACACAATGTCCCAGATGCAAAATTATCTGTGGCAATCACAAGGCTAAATCTTGTTCCCTTGCTTGTAAACCATTTTGGAATGGATATTTATAAATAGAACGTAGTAGAAAGACGATTGTTCCCACATGATACTGGGAAAGAGCTGAAGATCAAGAGAATCCCCCACATCAGCTGAATCAGCTTTTTCAGGCCGTAAATATCTATTTTGGGAAAGAGACTGCTTTCCTTCCTACCCTCACAGACGCATGCCCCAGTCACAAGCAGGATGTGGGAGTTCTGTTTTTCTCCTACATTCTGAAAAAAAGAAAAAAAAGAGACCACAGGGCTCTAGGAAGGAAAGAGAGGCAAACATGCTGCCATGCAGAACTAGTGCTCTGCAATGTCTCTCTTGGATAACCTCTCTGAGTTGCGGAGGTTGCAGGGACAGCAGGCAATGCAAAGTCTAGGTGCCAACCACGGGAGAACAGAGTGGCAACAGCCAGCAATAGGCGTCTGCCATCCTCACAAGATATTTCCTGCCAGTGTCATGATCAGTGCTGGGGAGCTGTCTGCCAGACTTGCTTCATCAGGCAGCAGCCCCTGGTTTACTGACACCTTGCTATGATTTTTCCACTGCAGGATTTGCCAGAGACAGTGTTGAAGTAGAGGCAGGCACCACACTCAGCACAAAAGAGCAGCAGACAGCTTGCTCCCTGCCTACATCCATGCTGTGCTGTTTATTATGTGTCCCATCCTCATCTCTCCTCCAACCACCAAGTCCTACTCTCAGAATCCTGCTCTCATCACAATGAGCATCACCAAACAGATTTTCCTTTTTACGCTTGCTCTTTGTATTTCCTCTCTGCACCAGCTCTTGTTCACAGCCTCCCACTCCACCTCCTGCAAACATTTTCCCCTCCCACCATCAGCACCATTCCTGCAGGAGGTGGATGCTGCTGGCTTGGCTAGGCAGTACTCACTTTCCTCCTACTCCCAAAAACTGGGGAAGAGTGGCAACAGGGCCCTTTGCCTCCTGCCAATCAGTCCTTTAGTCCTTACAGCACAGTGGGAAAAATTGGGCAAAAATGCAGATTTCCAGCCCTCTCCCTTCACAGAGTCGCTGCCTTCGATGTAATTGTCAGTGAAGAAGAGAGGCCTCTCGTAAGTAATTAGGGACCACATTCATTAGCTACTGACACAGCAAGGGGTGAGGCTCAAAGCTGCACTCATGGCCATCCCAGGCTTTGGTGACCTGGCTAAATTCTGGTGAGATAGAAAGCCCCTTTTCATTGCAAGAGCACAGGGTGCACATCTCTCCATCTGTCAGGCTCTGCTTGACTACATGTGGGCTGCCTGGAGTTTTGTCTTAGCCTCTTTATGTGTAACAGTACTGGATACATATTGTGACCTAATTTATTATTTTCCTTGGATTTGTATAATTGTATAACAACTATGCATCACTAGAAATACAGATTTCTATTACCAGTAATTATCAAGAATGAGCATGTGTTCTGTCTATGGACCTAGAATGAAAAATGAAAGGGTACAGGTGCAGAGTGATGATAACGAGATTTGAGAGTTCAGGCTCAGAATGACACTGGTGGCCTCAGGGCTGTAAACAGCTCATCAGTGCACAGTAACTGACCTTCAAAAGACTGCAGCCTCTGAAGCTGGGTAAAACCAGTCTTGGAGATAAACAGAACACAGACCGAGTGCTCAGTGCATGAAAGGCACACCACAGGTAGTAAGATCAATTGTGTGGGGATCTGTGAACCAATGAAGGAGCAAAATGTACAGAAAAATAGAAAGCATATAAAAGTGATGCCAACTGGACCCTGGAGTTTGTACCTTCACCTTCCTCCCATCAAGGATCAGGATGCAGCTGTCCCACTGTGCCCTTCCCTCAGGGATGAAGCCACAAACCTAAGGATCAAGCATGGCAGAGAAAGGGTGATCATAACACCAGGGAGACTACTAAAACCTTTCCATGTATTAGTTTTAACTGCAAGTAATCTGTACAATGTCTTAGTTTTGTAACTAGACCAATTACAGTTCTTGGGAAAAAATGGTGAGGTACCAGTAAGGCTGCTGGTAAATTCTCATCTTTGCATACAAGGCAGCATCAGACACACTAGCAGTCCCAAGGGTCACTGAAAAGGGAAGAGAAGCAAAAGTCTTGCACACTGTTACATGCTTGGTCCTCATCACAAAGCTGTTCTGGATGTCACCTTGTGTTGTATTTATAGACAGAGTACATAATGATTTTAACAAAAAGGCACAGATACAGAAAAAAGGCCTGCTTCACAGTGAAAACAGGGAGACTGAGGAGATGAGGATCTCACCACCATCACATCCTACAGGCAAATGAAGCAAAGCAACAGTCAGGAGAATTGTCCTGCAACCAGGGACCTGCTGGCTGACCACTCCTGTGCTAACAAGTTTCCCTGGCTGGGGCAGTCAGAAGAAACCTGTCTCACCAGCAGAGCTTTAATCTTTCACCCTGAAAACAGAGGAAGGCAACACAAAACTTCTTTTCTTTGCCCCCTTATCTTATCTGACATGCCGACACTCTGTTACTCAGTCACTAGATGTTTAGCAACTTGACCAAAAGCACTTTTTTCATCATTATTTATTCTATCTTATCTCCAGTAACTGAGGCAGTCAGCTACAAATTGATGGAAGGCATCATCAGCATGCCTCTGTTCACTGAAATGGAAGTGCCTCACTGAGGAGACAAAAACACAGCTAAAACCTCTAGCTGATCACTTTCTTCCTAGTTACATGAAAAATAACTATTTAAAAACATTTTTCCCCTTGAAGATGTCTACTACAGCTAGGCAGAAGGAGCTGTGGCCAAACCCCTGTGTACTAGTCCACATGTCAAAGTCATCACTCATGGAGGACTCAGTCTGTAACCAGAAACAAAGTCAAAACCTGTAACACAGAGCATATACTGACACTTAGGGCCTTGTGTGGCACTGATGGCAGCCAGCTTTTTTAAGAGCAAACTGGTGCAGGTTGGGTGAGAGTTTGATAGTGTCAGTTGTTAGTCTCAGCAGATAAGAATGAGAAACTGGTTGTGTTTGTGATCCTAGTATAAGCAACCTGAAAATAATGGATTTGAGGTAATTATTTTAAGAGCCTGATGTAATTCTATCCCTTATTTCTTACCTACAGGATTGCTATGTTTTGTCACAGAGAAGCTATTTGCCTGCTAAATGATGCAGCTCAGAGATAATCAGACTGCCTGGTGTGTTGAAATAGCAAACTTCAAAGTGAGGGAGATAACTGTTTAAATAGTGTGGCATGCTTGGCCACAGATCAAAGTTTCTTATGACTTAATATTTATGAAACATCCAAGACTCTACTAAAGCTTTAGCAACATATATTTGGAGACTATATGAAAAATAAGTCTAATATGTCTTTGGCTCCTCATACAGTAGAGGGGAAGAGATACATGTGGTATAGCTCCACAGTGGGAATGAGCTCACCCTGTGGCACTGTGCAGCAAGGGCAATGCTGTCTCACATAACCCATGAGCATTGGTCAGCAGAGCCTGAATAACTCAGCAGCCTTCAAACAGCTTGATCTTGCATGTATTTTTCTTCATGAAATAGACTTTCTTGGTCACAGAACAAAAAACTTTCTAAAAGTTACAGATTTGTGAAATACAGCGGTAAGGTTCAAGACACAAAGGGTATGTTTACACTGGCAAGTTGCAGGAAAGATCAGTCTCCTAGAATTAGCAAAGCAGAGGGAGGTGCTTGGCCTACTTCTGCTCATGACCACCAGGACATCATCTCACGTGAACCCACTTGGGTCAGGAAATAGGGTATCCTGATTGAGCAGGCTGCAGAGAAGAGACACAAGGATGTAAATCCCAGCCTCTGTTGCCAAGTGTGCAGCAGACTTGTTGCAGGACTTCCAGTGTCCACAGCTAGTGGATGTGCCCTTCCATACCCCCTGCCCTTCCCAAGGAGCAACTACAATTTGCTCACAGGAGAAACACCAACTTTCAGTTGCTCCCTCTAATCTGAGATGAGCAAGACCAACACTCCAGGTTTAGAGCATGTTTCACCAAATCATTACAAAGCGGGGGAAAAAAAAACAAGTTTTTCAAGACAGTCAGATTCTTTTCTCTTAGCTGTTGTATGAACTCCCATACAGATGGGAGAGTGACATGCAGCAAGGTAGCACAAAATCTGGATGTTTTTGATATTGATGGTGAAGACAGCACTTCAGAACAGGTTTTTGTTTCCCCAGCCCAGATGCGTTTCTGATGACCTTGCAGAAGAAACAGTGGATTTTAGCACTGCTTCTCCCTTCCTACTCCTGCCCAGTGCTTGCACAGATTGACATGCCACCAAGGCTCTGTTCAAGTGTCTATAACTGATTCTCACAAACAAACCCTGGCAAAGGGATAGAGGGATACATTCCAGGCACATCCTGTTGTCTCTGCAACCATTTGCTTGATATCAATGCTTTTATTTATGTTCCGTGTCATCATATTTCTGTACATGAATGCATCTCTAGAAAAGATGTGTCTG